TGTATAATGTCTGTATAGTTTTCATACATTTTAGTTTTAATTAGCCTGCTTTAGTGCATCATGTTAAACTAAATGAAAATCTAATTTTTTCCCGGGCAATAACTAAAATGAAATAGGTTTAAGTTTTTTATACATTTTATTTCAGTACAATTTTTTTTTTTTTTTTAAGTTTAAGTTCTAGTTAACTATAATAACAATTATATATATATATATATATATATATAATACTATAATAACTATAAAAGCAGTGGCTCAACGTCCTTTTCACACAAAATGTAAAACAAGAACATTGAGAAGAGGTAAAAGCAAACTATACCTGCATATCTGTCTAGGCTGGTACTGCAAGGTGTACGGACATCGCGCTTTGGCGACACAATGTGTGATCTAGTTGGGGTCCCACTTGCTAATGTGGGAGGAGAGGCAAGGCGGCTTGGATCTTCAGATTTGCGTTTGTTAGGCCGCTTTTGTGGGTGATCCTCGAGTTGTGCGAATTCATTGGGATGCTTATGCTGTAGATGTCTGATAAGGTTACTTGTGCTACTCCGGTGCTGGATCTTCTCCATGCAGAGCAAGCACAGGGCTCGCGGCTCCTGGCCAAGCTTTCGATAGTGCACCCACACGGAGCTCCACTTGCGAGTATTAGCTGGGTTGTCATCCTCTTGTATCTCTTTCCCATCCCCTTCATCAACAGGCCCCTCACCTTCCTCCTCAGCCACCTCCGCTTCAGTTGTCCCTTCCCCTGCCGCAGCACGGAGGATCCCTTTGATGGCTCCATCCATTTCACCATCTTCACCCACGGACTCCACCTCTACCTGCTGCTCATCCATCAATACTGTAACTTGATAGAGAAAAAAGGAGGAAAAAATTAAATGCATAGAATATTTTTACATGGCTAAAGGCACTTTAACTGAACCTGTGACACTCTCTTTAAATGCTTGTTCCTTGTGTTTGAAGAGTGCATAAGGACAGACTGAATTACAGACAATAAACCACACAAAATAACATTTGTAATAACCTGCATTTAAAGTAATATGTATTACTAAAAGTCAATGAGATAGTAAAAAATGTTATGCCAAGCTAAAGGTAAACAAAAAATAAAACAAATGAGGGAATAAGTTCAACAGAAGACGCTAAATGTATAACGCGTTGTTTAAAAATACAAATTGGCCTTCTGAGGTACACAATAATAAATTCATGAAGCGGCCTTCCGCTAACGTTAAATTACGACAGAACAGAATGTTGCTAAGCAACAAAAGCAATGAATTTGGAAGCTGAGCACTACTGACATGATCAACAGGTGCTGCATGTCATAACCGTTTCTATTCCTCTCTGTCCATTTCTATATGTTTTATAACTTAGGAAATATTAAACCAGGCCTAGCAACAAATAATCGTAGCTTTAACCAATGACCCGCTAGTTCTAGAATTTTTGAAAAATCGCGCCGATCCGGTGATGTGACATATGGTGCATCACGTGACAATTTCGGATCAAATACAGTTCCATACAACTCAGATTTTAGAAAACCATAGACATTATGTACAATTCACTAATCATAGATCGTTCGTATATAATATACGATTTGATACTTCATACAGAACGGGGTCGTTACGGTTGAAGGTTTTCTGTCCAGTTTATTGTGGACAGGAGGGGGCGGGGAGGCTCTTTCAGTCAGAGCACCGTATATTGCTGATCCAAATCAGCGACACGATTCAAACGATTCATTCGTTTGACTGAACGAATCGAATCGACTCCAGTCGGGGAAATTCGTTTGAGACCCTATCAAATACGCAAAATTAGCCTTCTATAAATGGGCGACGCAATAGACAATTGTTTGACGAAAACAACATGGCGTCGTTGCGACATCCACCCAAAAACCCGGCCTAAGCGAAACTCTCATCACTATGACTAAAGACTCTGTAAAACGAACCCGTTCTTACAGAGGAGTCGATACTGAATCTCACAGTCACAACGAGTGCTGTTTTGAACGATAAAGCGCCTTTGTATTGGCTTTGGACTCGCATGCGGTGAATTTTAAGCACGTGCATAGGCCAAAATGGAGGGGAAACATCACAAATCAAAGGAAAAAAGATGTACGGTGTCATTTCTAAGATCCACAACCAGCCAGCTGTCTAATAGACGTATCGGTGTACACATCGTGACACTGTACATGGTAAACACTAACGTTACAATACAATAATTGAACGTTTCATACCTTCCACGCAACCACTGTCGTTGCGTTTGGTTACCGCATCTGTCGCGGGCTTCCTTTTGTCCAACGAGGAAAAATCAGAGGGGTGTTTCGTTCGTAAATGGCGAAGCATGTTTGTCGTGTGACCAAAATACAAAACCGTCTTCATACAGAGAAGACACAACACTCTTCTGTCATCTTCAGCTTGGAAAAATGACCAGACTATACTTCGCTTTCGTGCCGCCATTTTCGAGCTAGTCGACTTTGAATACTGACTGTCTGATCGCCGTATTCTAGAGGGTAACCTTCTTTGCGTTCAATTCTCGCGCATGCGCATTGGTTCTGATGCTTTGATCACTACCAGGCACTGAGAAAAAATGTGAGGGAGACACAATACTTTATCGTTTTTTTTGTATACATATGTAGCATTCAACATTTTTTGTCTTTTAGTAGGGTGTACCATTTCGTCTACAATATTAAATTGTAGGCTATGTCTGTTTTGAGTTACTGTCTTGAGGCTAGTGTCTTTGTTAACGTTGTTGCCTGTTTTAATTGTAGTAATAATAATAATAATGTTAATTTACTGTTTACTGAATTGTCTGTGACTGAACTAATCAAGGCTGTAGTGTTTATACACGTCATATAAATACTAAGTTCATACGAAAGTTGTCTGGTTTGTTTAGAATTAAAATATTTTTGTTTTGAAGTTTATTGAATCTTCAGTACAAAACATTTAATTAAACTGTACATGTATAAGCTTCACATATCTTCAGAATCCTCTTAGTTTTGTTATTTTTAAAATTTCGCAAAGAAATGAATAAAACATATTTTTTCTGTCCTTTCCCGTGATGCAGGATTCCCAAACTAAGAGCTCCAGTATAGAACAGGGGCCCGTTCTTCGTACGTCGCTAACTCAGTTAGCTGGATTTGATTGTTGACGATTTGGCATGATCTTGGATTGTTTGGTTCTTCGAAGCTCATCCCGGAGTTGCTGTCATAAGACCTATTCGCACGGGATTAGTATTATCTGGGGACCTTGTGTGATTTTGAAATGACCCCCCCACATCTGAATTTCGTGTGGTGCATTCGCACGGGATAAGCGAAGCCTGTGATTTTACTCTAATTTACTGACTTGTCTCCCGGATACCCGGATGTCAAGGCTTTGAGAGTCCCGTTCTATGGTCCAGATGGATTTAAAAAAAAAAAACGAATATAGTTTCGTGCCCTGTGTCATTTACATTTCACCAAGTTAAAATAATATCTCAAGCTGTATGCTTGATTTATTTGTAACACATTAACCTCAAAACCTTTTCAGCTTTCTCTTTCTGCAAATTGTATGGTGTAGCGATATGATGACAGCACCCACAATACTATCACTTTTCCACTGCACGGTATGGCTCGGTACGGTTCACTTTTTGGGGGGTTTCCACTGGGTACAGTACCTGGTACCTGATACTTTTTTTAGTACCACTTCGGTTGGGGTTCCAAGCGAACCGTACCGTTACCAAAACGTGACGTGTAAACTCGACACAAACACAACAGAACCGCTAGATTTAAATCAGCACAGCCAGCGAAGGATCGAACGCAACTGTTTTGAACAAGCGAACCTTTTTTTAACAACCAAAAAGTTTTGTTGTCTGTCGCGGAAGTACAGACGTTCCTCTCGTTGATAGCAGAGGAGCGGATCCAGCGAGAGCTTGATGGGGCAACGCGGAATGAAAAAGTTTTTTTCAGCAGTCGTGATAGTAGAGGCGGCGCAACTATAACGACATGTGAATAATCCCGCCCACTCTAAAGCGGTACTGAACTGCAGTGGAAACGCAAACCGAGCCGAACCGAACCGTGCTGTGCCGTACTGAGCCGTGCCGAGCCGAGTCGTACCACGCAGTGGAAAAGCGCCAACACTCCAACGCAGCTCCATTCTTCGCGAAAGATGGATTAAAAAGGCGCACAGGAAACACAAACCTCGAAAAATGATATACAACCCGCCAAATGCTGGCCGAATCACAGAGATGCCGATTCGCACGGGACTAATATTATCACAGGACCTCGGTGTTCAGCGAAATATGGTAGGTCATTTGCGGGGGAATTTTTACTTTACAAATTACAGACATGGCCGATTCGCACGGGATTAAGATCACAGACAACCTCCGCAATTATTACAAATGACTGGAGGTCACCAGGTAATACTAATCCCGTGCGAATAGGGCTATAGCAACAGGTCCGTAAATTTAAACCTGCTCGGGAGCAGGTTTATTTCATATAAACAGGATTAGACTGCATCTTTTTAATACTTAAAATCTGTCAGCTACCACCGCTAACGTTACTTTATTACAAGAGTACCCTACTAATCCAGGGACTATAATTTACAAATAATAATCATTTAAAAATTAATTTAAAGATTATATAATAATGTTGTGTAGTCTTTAATACTATAGACACAGCCAGTTTTACTCATTGAAAGATTTATTCGTCATAAAACTATTACTTCATATTTGTATTAGAGTCTTACACACATGTCCCGGTGCCCCTTCCCGGTTCACAGTTTTGTCGAGGCCACCACATATTAACTCGTGGGAACGTGATATGATGTCGTGGCCTCCACTTCTTATGTTGAGGAACACATCTTTTTTTTCTCGTGGCCACGAGTTTAATGCGTAAACAAACCTGCGTGACCATAGCAACCCGGGATTATCAAAAATGGGGGCGAACCTTTAGCGCCCCCTTTAGAATACCAGCAGATATTCATGTCAAAGCCACATCTAAACAAAAAAGGACAAAACAAGGTAAATATTTGTTATTCAGTAGGGATTTAAAAACATTTAATTAAATTAAGTTAAATATTTATTTTGAACTCATAACAAATAATAAAAACACCATCCACACATCAACCCATCACCCTCTCTTAAACAGTGCACAGACACCAATTCAGCAATAAAAAATATAATTCAAGAAACTTTGTGCAGTTTAGTAGAACCTTTAACATGTCCAATGCACTGGACATCAGGCAACAAGTCACAACAGGTATATTACAGTAAATGATATCTAGTGTCCAGCATAATAAATTTATCAGTGCTGTAAATCTCTCTCTCTCACACACATATACAGCAAAAAAATACTCATCAGAGCACAAGCTTATCTTCACTACTCAAAATATAAAAACTTAAGAGGCTCACATTTAAACCCTGTGACTCAAATTTAAACTCAAAAGATCACATAAAAATAGGAAAAGCACAGAAATAGTTTTTCACAGCTAAGCTTTGCACATCTTTTTTGTTACAGTAAATAAGCAACAAAACAATCCTGAAACCACAATTCCTATCCAGTGACGCATTTCCAGTGTTTTGCATAACTTAAATCTTTCAGATAGTATGCATAAACTTTGTTATATTATCTATATCAGTGGTTTCCAACCATGTTCCTGGAGGCCCCCCACCCCATGTTTTCCATGTCTCCTTAATCAAACACACCTGATTCAGCTCATCAGCTCATTAGTACAGACTCCAAGACCTGAAATGGTCAGACAAAGGAGAGATGCAAAATATGCAGTTGAGAGGGCCTCCGGGATCTATACGTTTAAAATTAAAGCATGGTTGTTTTATTGTAAAAGAAAGTGAATGATGTTAATAGGCTCAGTCTTGAGATAGCATATGTAGAATGTAACAGTGTGTGTAGTGTTAGTTTGGCAGGGTTCTGTGGTTGTGGTTTGAGTCAACATCCTGAATTTTGACCTCCACTGACTCCCACTCTCCAGTGCGATTTGACCGTTTGATAGCATCTACAACCGTCTGTACATACAGCCCATCCTCGAAGGAGGCTGCCATGGAAACAGGATGCCGCACCCAAGAGCGCCTGTCCTCTTGTGCCTGAAACGAGAGTCTGAGCTGGGTCACCATGCCGTTCAGTCCCCTGACAGATGGCCCAACAGCTTCTCCACCATCGCTCAAAAGAAGCTCCTCTACTTGCATGCTGGCCCGCTGGCCGTACAGCTCTGTTCCTCGAGCAACAAGTCGTCCTGATGACCCCACAAGCATGATCTCATGCACATCTGTGCCAGGTAGATTGAAGTTTAATGTCACGCTGCAAACCACGCCTCCATTCATCAGCAGCTGAAAGCAAGCGTAGTCATCTGCAGTCACAGAACGAATCCCTCCCACTGGGCCACCTTGACGTACGAAAGTCCGGAGCATTCCATGCACTCGCACAGCCCGACGTCCCGTGAGGTGGCTCAGGAGGTCAATGATGCAGGAGCCAACTGTATGCAGGCCACCTCCCCCCATCAGCTCCTCCCATGCCCATCCATATGATTGGCTGAGCAGCGAGCCTCCATAAACACGTGCTTCACATACCTTTGAAAAGGAGAGAAAAAAAATATTTACTGAAGGAGTTCATATTTTGACCAGTCTAAGTTATGTAATAAGGTAACATATGACCTAATATAGAGAAGTTAAGATGCTTACTATTTTAAGAATGGCCTACATTATTATTATTATTACTTATGCACAATTTTAACTAAATCCAACAAAAAATATCTACATAGTTGACTATATAAAATTGTAAAAAAAACAGTAACCTTGTGAAATATTATATTTTAACTGTTATTAAATAGTATTATGTTAATAAATATCGTTTTAATATATTTTAATCATTTAGCAAATGCTTTTATCCAATACTGGATATAAGATGTTTTTATCCACTATTTTTAAATATTGTTTATTACTCCAGTCTTCAGTGTTGCATGATCCTTCAGAAATCATTCTAATGTGCTGATTTGGTGGTCTAGAAACATTTCTTATTATTATCAGTGTTTGAAAGAGCTTCCAATTTTTTTGTAGAAAAACCATGATACATTTTTTTTAGGGATTCTTTAAATAGAAAGTTCAGAAGAACAGCATTTATTGGTATTATATTTAATCTTAACATTTTTGTCATTATATAAATATCATTATATACACTACCGTTCAGAAGATTGGAATAATTAGGACTTATGCTTACCAAGGCTGCATTTTACAACCAGTAAAAACAGTAATATTGTGAAAGATTATTACAATTTAAAATAATCAGTTTTTATTGCTGTGATGGCAAAGCTGAAATTTCAGCAGCCAGTATTCTAGTCTTCAGAGTCACACGATCCCAAGATTTTTATTTCAAATAAATTGTTAAAAATCAGCATATAAGAATGATTTATAGCATCCTTGATGAATAAAAGTATTACTTTATTTCAAAAACAATCTTACTGACCCCAAGTTTTAATTGAATGTATACACCTATTTTTATTTTTTGGGTGAAATTCCAATACCTGCAAGTTCCCACAATAACCCTCTCCTAGCAGGCGTTTCATCTGGACAAATGCGGGCAAGAAGCGCAAGGAATTTCCCATGATACTCATAAGCTGTGGATAATATCTTGCCGCTGTCACCATCTTACAGGCATCTGTAAGTGTAGCTGCCTGCTCACTGATCACATTTTTACCTATACCTATAGAGAATGAGAAAAGAGAAGAAAATTATTATATAACGATGACCAAAACTGCAAATGTTGTTTGCCTGACAAGTTTCTGCTTGAAGCAAGTGCTTTATCAGCATAATCTCAACTGTGCTGAGGGGTTCACTGTGATCTAAGAATGCAACATTTGATCAGCAGGAAAAAAAGCCCACTGTGGCTTGTGCCAAGTTAAAGGGGTCCTATTAGGAAGGGAAGTCGTGGCCTAATGGTTAGAGAGTCGGACTCATAACCCAAAGGTTGTGGGTTCGAGTCTCGTACCGGCAGGGATTGTAGGTGGGGGGAGTGAATGTACAGCGCTCTCTCCCACCTTCAATACCACGACTGAGGTGCCCTTGAGCAAGGCACCGAACCCCCAACTGCTCCCCGGGCGCCGCAGCATAAATGGCTGCCCACTGCTCCGGGTGTGTGTTCACGGTTTGTGTGTGTGCACTTTGGATGGGTAAATGCAGAGCACTAATTCCGAGTATGGGTCACCATACTTGGCCACATGTCACTTCACTTTACTTTTTCACTTTTTTTTATGCTCTTTTACAAAGTCTTGATTTTGTTTTGGGGGTGTACTAGAACATGCTCTCATGCTTGGTGTTTCGAAAATCGTATAAAATACCTTTCTCCCCAGCCTGGCACAAACGGCTCGATTAGTTCCGGCTTTGATGAAGGTCCGCCTTCCGAAAAACAAAAACGTCGCGCCACGTCTTTAAAATTCAAATATTTTATTTTCTATGAGTGTAGGCACACCGGCGGCGCCCAGCTACGTCGTGTTATACTTGTAAGAATTGTTCTAGACATGCTGAAAATTTTACGCTACAGCACAGCAGCTCTTCTTCTTGGTTTTCTCTGATGCACTAACTCTGCAGCA